AGCCCGGTAGTAAATGGATTCTGATGGGCCACGGACAGACTTTCCCCTGTCTGGTCACTCAAGCACGCTCTCAAGCCGTCGGGACGGTCTGACTAGGCCATCCGGGCTCAGTGCCGTCCCCCCCTTCGCAGTATGTGCATCATCGTATACTCCATAGGGGGCCCTCAGTGCGGAGGTGTGATTCCTCATTTATGCGCATCAGAAAGAAATGGCCAAAAATAAGAGAGACTCACCTGCAATTGCGTCTGATCACACTGTGATGGGCTGCGCCTGCAGCTATGAAGGGAGGTGTGATTTTGTAACTGCGGGTCAAATTCCTCCGGAGGGAATAGCCTTGCTTCCCCTCTGCTTCAGCTGGTGCATGTGACTGCAGCCTGAAGATCATATAATTTAACAGACAGGTATTTTGTGCTTTTCTTGTCCTTCTGCCCCAATGATTCTGTGTTTATTTGGATATTGTATGCATACTTTGCAATGTTTAAAGAGATTTTATGTTATATTGTACGGAGTTATGCATTTGAACTTTTTCTTCTGCTTACACTGACAGTAGAGCCCAAACACTCTCCATTAGAGGCTGATATCCTTTCCATGCCATTGATTCCATAATGATATAAAGTTCGTGATGCTCTGGGTTGGGAATTGGGAACAGGGTATTGGGAACAGAGGTTGGGAACTGGGAATTGTGAGTAGTTTTCAGGGAACCTATTAAAGGAAACAGGCAAAGCAACCAGTTCACATCATGGCACCATTGAAGAATTAGTCCTGTGTTGCCTATATAACCTGTTCTTTTGCATTCTTAGTGCAATGGCTGACTAGTATTTTAAGATCTGGTTTGTATTCTACAGTAGCAACAAGGAAACACTCCTTGATTTTTCCCGCTCTTCAAATAAATGCAATCTTTACCCCAACGAAAGACCAGTTTTTTTTTTCCAGGTATGCCATAAAAAAGAGAGGGTCAGCTAACATTTGCATATGCATAACAGTTATGTCCAGGGGGGAAAATGTTTTTTAATGTACAACATTTTAAAGGGGGGGGGGACATCTTACATTCAGGATTGTATTCCATCTGAGTAAATATGATATTTGTTCATTCATGCATTGTTACTCATCAGCTCTTCAGTAAGAAATAGTACTCACACAAGCCAGTTCAAGAGAACTCCTCCACTTTTCTAATGGATATGGGTCACTGGCCTATTGCCTGGTGTCTTATTTCGACCATGACTGTAATTCCACTGTAATCCCAGATGTTCTGAAGTATGAAGTCAGACAAAGTTTCCTTCCCATGAACCAAGTAGGATGAATTGAATGCATGAATATATCCATGGGTTCATTTTATTCATCCACAGTGTGCTCAAATTGTGATGTGGGATTTAGAATATAATTTAAGTATTTTATATAAATAACCAAAAGACCTACTCCAGGAATAAGAAAACCTGACATATAACTTGGACACTGTAGTCCTCTTCAAAATTTAAGTCAAATGTAGTTTGTTTTGCCGTTTTACAATGTGGTAAAAGCAGCAGGTGGGTTATGTTTACAAACTCCAATTATGTGACATGGAAAATCAACTTTCAATAGTTTCTGGAAATACAGATGGATGTTTCAAACCATTGTTTTTAATCTGCAACAAATAGGGATTCCTGCTATTTGTTAAAAAAAGTTAATTTTAATGTATAAAGTATGTTTGCAATTAAATTTTTTGCCAGTAATTCCAAAACAAAATCTCTGTAATGGAATTGTAAATATAATATAGAGAAACTGTACTATGAGCAATGTATACATAAGCATATATTTATTTTAGTGATCTGGTTGTTGGCACCTGTTTCCCACTGTTATTTGTGTCAGGTGATTTCTGTGAGGCTGTGGAAAATGTCAATCTTTGTGCTTTGAGTGGTTGATTAATCCAATCTGCTAACTAATCAAAGCATTTAGATTTGCATAACAGAATAATGGAATTGCAGAACTAGGAAGCCTTTTTGCACTGATTAACTTCTCTAATAATTCCTTTCCTCCTGTTAGCTCTTGCACTCAGAATGCTCACTACATTTAGTAGCAATGACTGCTTAAAATTCCTCTTCACTGAAAGAAATAAAATGAAAATGGGGAGGTGGGGCAGGATAAGGGAATCAGCTGCAACATCAGAACTGCACAAGATAAAAATTGGTGAAATAAATTGTTTTGAGAAGTCTTGCGACATGTCTTAAAACCTGGATCTAATATCTTTTCGGTTTTCTTTGCTTCATTTTTGTCTTTGGCTCACTGTTCTTTTTCTATATGTTAAGCAATGCAGCAATCCCGGCTTTTCATTCACATTTAAATTCAGAAAAGTGGAATAAACTGCAAGTGTCTTAGTACCTCTAAAATGGAGGCTAGAGAATAATGGGATAAAAAGAATGGCATTTTAGTCTGGGTAAATCAAGGGCAAGAGATCTAAAGTTAACCTAGGTTTTTGCTGGACTTCTGTTGACCTGTGTCTTGGCCCAGGGTATTTTATATGTTAACTTTCCCAGCTCATCATTGGAGCACCCACTATGGGTCTTCCTGCCTTTGGAGCTGGCATAGGTGGTGATGCAGCTGAGGGGCTTGACTCTGTGTAATCATATTTTTGGAACACTCTCCTGAAGATATCTGAGACATTGTTGTCATATAGGTGTCCATCTGTTTTATTCTCCAGAGCTTTTTGCTTGAGGTCTTCCTAACAGGATAAACTTGTTTGCTGTGTCTCTGCTTCTATTTTAGTGTTTCATTTAGGGTTTGATTTTTGCTATAGATCCATTAATTTATTAGTGCTTGTGGGTTTGTTTTTTATGATTTATGATGTGAGCTGCTTTGAATTGTAATAGTGGAAAAGAAGGAGCCAGATATTTCAAGTGAATATGATTAATTTAAGATTTGTTTCAACTCTGTGTCTGCTGAAGGGGGCCGCCTGGACACTGCATCACAAAATCTGGCCAAGGGTCTGGAGGCCGTGGTGGGATGGTTGAGGAAGAGTCGGCTGAATCCAAATCCAACCAAGATGGAGGTTCTGTGGCTGGATGGGGGGGGGGGGGGGTTGGGGTTGAGGGCCGGAAAAGAAGGATCCAGATATTTCAAGTGAATATGATTAATTCAAGATTTGTTTCAACTCTGTATCTGCTGAAGGGGGCCGCCTGGACACTACATCACAAAATCTGGCCAAGGGTCTGGAGGGTCCCTAACATCAGCAACGTCGGACGTCACTTCTGGTGACGTCCTGCCGGTGCGCGTGCACTTTGCGCACATGCGCACGCGCCCGGCCGCACTCCCGGACACCAACGAAGATCCCCCGCTCCGAGGGGTGAGTGTATTTGGCAACCCTAATGGTTGAGGAAGAGTCGGCTGAAACCGAATCCAACCAAAATGGAGGTTCTGTGGCTGAATGGGGGGGGGGGATTCAGGATTCAGGTCCCAACTTCCCACTCTTGATGGCACACCTTTAATACCAGCACAAGTCTTCAAGTGTTTGGCCATGGTCCTGGATACCTGATCTAGCCACAATAATACATGCAACGGTCACCTCCATATTAGATTACTGTAACTTGCTTTACACTGGCCTGCTCTTGAGACTAATCTGGAAACTCCAAGTGGTCCAGAATGTGGCAGTGCAGGTCCTGACAGGAACACCATGGACTGCACATATTCAACCTGTGCTGCACCAGCTGCATTGGCTCCCAGTGGAGTACGGGGTCAAGGTTCAATGTTTTGGTACTGACCTTTAAGGCCACGAGCGGCCTGAGATCCACATATCTGCTGGACTGTGCCATCAAGGGTCAACAATTATCTGTAAAAACTCATCTGGAAAGCAGAGTGAGCCTTCATATTTTCACTATCTTAGTCTTTGAGCTAGTCACAAAATAAATGTACTCTGAGGATTCTGCTTTACTTTATCAGCGAACAACACACAAGATTACATGTAACTTTATAATCAGCTTTTGCCTGCTTTAATAACTCTTTTTGGGTTATTTTACTACTGAGAACTGACTTTAACAGAAATGTTTGCACATACCCACAATTCAGTTTAATGAACGAAGTTTGAGTCCAGTGTGGCACCTTTAAGTCCAACAAAGTTGAATTCTAGGTATAAGCTTTTGTGTGCATGCACACTTCATCAAATATATGCATGCACATGAAAGCTCATACCCAGACTTAAAACTTTGTTGGTCTTAAAGGTGCTACTGGACTTAAGCTTTATTCTGCTGCTTCATACCAATGCGGCAACCCGCCTGACTCTAAATTCAATGTAATGTTCTTGAGTAAGGATTTGTGTGTGTGTGTGGAATATAATACAATGAGCTGGAGGCACATACCCATGTGTCATCCCTTCATGTGCATGGCGCACCAAAGTTGTATGTTTTTAACCTTTTCAGTAGCTCCTCTCCAAATGTACCAAAGTGATCTTAAGTCACTTTTTAAGAAAGTTTTTAGGGGGGGGGGATGGGATATAACTAGGGTTGCCTAGGGAAATCCCTAGAGATTTTGGAGGTGGATTTCTGTCACTTGGAGATCAGTTGTAATCCCAGGAGATCTTTGGTTACCACCTGGAGGTTGTCACCCCTGGATGTACCTCTGCAGTGTTTGCACACGGTAACCTCCCCTAGGAACTTCCTGCTCAGAAGCTTCTTCTTCTCTTTGCTGACCTCCATAGTACCATTTGCAAAAGGAAAGAACAAATTGCTTAAAATGAAACTCACAACGTATCTCTAGAGTTGTGGACCACAGACCACAGTTCAATATGAAGTTAACCATGTTTTTGGTAGGATTAAGTATTTAACTCTGTAATATGCCATGGCCTTTATTCTTAAGACTATTGGCGTCAATCTATCCAGCACGTAAACAAGGATAATGTTGATGCAACCTGACCCCCCACCCCAAGAGTTACGCTTGCTTTATATTTTCTGTTTACTGTGCTATAATTGGAGCCAAAGGTTGGTAGCATTGTTCTGTTAGAGCCGACTCTAATGAGAATGTTTCTTTTATTTTAGCAACAAGAGCAAGACCCCACAAACCTTTACATCTCAAATTTACCCATTTCCATGGACGAGCAGGAGCTGGAGAATATGCTGAAACCCTTCGGACATGTCATTTCCACCAGGATATTGAGAGATGCGAATGGCGTCAGTAGAGGAGTCGGCTTTGCCAGGTGAAAATCCTAGCCCTCTTGACTTACATAGTGGGTTTCTCTCTGTGTTGCAGCCACTGAGCCTTTTTCCTCCACACAAACTGGTCACTGCTGTTGATCTGAAGTCTTGTAGTTGTGGGATTTGTAGATTGTTCAAGGAGAAGGCAGCTTTATCAGATTGTGTGGGTGTATGTTTTACAGGATGATGAAGAAGCTGTGGTTGAAAACATAGTTCATTTTATTTAGGAAGATGACAGCAAAATAATCAGGGATAATGAGGTAGCAGTTCAGTTTCAAATTTAATATGAGTGAACGTCCCTCTACCGAAAAACGTATATATGATTATGCTCTCTATTTCTTAATTCGCTGTTGGGAATAAGAGAAGAGAGGAGTGAATACTGAGTAGTTCTGAAACATGAGATCTCTGTAATACATTCAGTGCCAGAAATGAGAGCAAGAACCAGTGAAATGAAGCATCAGCACTGCTGCTAGGATATCTTTTGCTGAAGAAGGGGAGTTATTCAGTCCTTGCTAGTATGTTTCCCAGAAAAAAAAACTGGTTATGTTCTGCAGGGATACACTAAAATTCCACATCAGTTGCCAGATGTTCCGATGTATGAAGTGCCAGGAAAAGCTTCTTTAAGTAGCTTGGATTTAATACACAAGCAGGTTTGATTGGTTCACCCATGATAATATGCTCAAATCATGTGGTACGTGTTACAGGGTTATGCTCCATCGGGGAATACAGCATATTCTCCACTTTGGTTGATGTAGCCAAATAGTTTGACAGCTTGATATACAAAAGGCTCCCCTACAGGTTTTAAGATAAGACGAAGTTGCTGATGTCAGTGCCCAGATTCCATTTCAGAAGCCAAAGCCCCTGACTGACAGTTATATCCACATGGAAAATATCCCTTCGCTTCCCTTCCCCCCCCCATTTTCTGCACCTGTTGTGTACTGTCATTATTGTCAGTGAAGTATGAGCATGCGTGGATCAGACCTTTAATCTACTGGCAATGTTCCTGGTAGACTGCTGACCTGAAAGGCTACTGGCAGCCAGGAGCAGTAGCCACTGTAGTGCTAGCCATGCATGCTCAGGGTCTACTTGGCTGGAACCCAGGCTGCACTGGCGAGAACAGCAGCAGGGCTGTTATCGTTGCCACTTGGCTCAGCTAGCGGTTTTCACATCCCAATACATCCCTTCTGAAGCACTGCGAAATACAGTGCTATCGAAGTGCCATTAAGTTGCAGCTAATTTATGGCCACCCCTCATGGGTTTATCAAGGCAAGAGATGAGCAGAGGTGTTTTGCCATTGCTTTCCTTTGTGTAGCAACCCCTGTCTTCCTTGATGGACTCCCAGCCAAACAATACCCATGGTTGACCCTGCTTACCTTCCAAGCTCTGATGAGCTCAAGTTAGTCTAGATTGTTCAGGCTGCTGAAGTACTACGGGTTGAATGTAAAATTTAGATGGGCTAGAATGATTAATGTAAAAATGTTTATCTCCCATCTTCTGTCCTGCTTGACATGCACACAAGAGCCTGAAAGACACTCTCTAGTATCCATGTGTGAAAATACATTTACAGGGTCACAGCAAAGGAATTGCTTCTGCTGTTCTTTGGGTCACTTCTTTGGAACACTTTTTAACAGCAGTTTTTGTTAATACCGATGGAAGAAAGAATGATTGCAGGTTTTTCCCGAGCATGGGGAAAAAACTTGATGAAACCTGACCCTCTGAATCAAACCAGAGTTGTCATGAAGTTGGAAGCATCCATACATATGTCTGTAAAAGTGCTGCCAAGTTACAATTGATTTACAGCAAGGTGCTTTCAAGGCAAGTGAGAAGCAGAGAATGGCCATTGCCATTCAAGTACTGACCCCGCTTAACTTTTGAGATCTGATGAGAGTGGGCTGTACCATGCCACCTACCCTCCAGAAACACCCATAGAGTGCCTTGAATCCCAAATGAAACCCCCAAGTACAGGCTTCTTTCTGTGTCATATGTAAATGATGCCTATTCTGTTGCATATCAAGGCAGGGTATAAAATGTTTGTTTCACAATGCAGGTCCCAGACAGGTAGGAAGGGCACATCTGTGTTCAAAATTCTGGCACTTTATCTTTTTTAGAAATGGAAATACATTTTTCATTTCACTTCATAGTTTTTTCCCCCCTTTCCCCTGCTATCTTAAGGTATAGGAAGAATGTCTGTTAAGCGGCAAGCTGAGTAGATTGAAAATGAAAAACAGGAGAATTGTCAATCACGATAATGCCTTACGTGAACTGTGGTTTTGTTGTCAGGAAAGCAAAAATCACCTGGCATTAAAGAACCTCACATGGCAGGGAACATCTGATGAACAAGTAAAATGATGACAGCTATTTCATACATAACTTTTTTTTTAAACGGTACAGCATATCTCAGTTGATTATGAGTAATATGGGTTTCCCCCATGCTAATAAGGTGACATAAATTAATAGGCATTGCAATTTCACCTTTTGTCCTTGATACAAAAGAACACTGCTCTCAAGAAAATGTTAAAATAACACAGTCTGCATTCAAATGGCAAAAAGCAGAATGAAGGATGAGGCACTATTGCTATTGCCTCCTTTTACTGAACTCATTAAATTGCCTTATTATAAATTTGCTAAAGGGAGATAAGGATCTCTGGAACATTAACTTGCATTTGAAAGCCTGGTTTTGCCACAGGAATGCATTTAACCAAAATTGAGGGGGGGGAGGGGAGGAGAGGCGATAAGGGGCAGACTTTCACAAGCACCAGTAGCATAAACTGTGTTCACATAGAGAATAATGATGAAATGTTGGGGTTTATCCAGGAAGGTGTGACTTTCTTATACAGGCTCCTGCACAGCCTTTGCATATACAAGAACATCAGGCAGCTAGGAGAAGGATCAGTTTCATCAGTCACCTGAGGATATCCCTCAGTTCTCTTCTGGTATGCTTTCTAAACTAGAAGTGGTCTCAGAAGAGGAAGAGCAGGCCCAACTTCAGTAAGGGCCATATGGACAGTGCAGAGATAAAATATCTTGAAAATAGCAGCCCATGTAAGCCTGCTTCCTCTTTAATTTAGCTCCTTTTTCAGGTTGGGGTTGTGCATTATGCCATGGTTGTTTACATGAATGATATGTAGGGCTGCCAGTGCCAGGTTGGGAAATTTCTGGAGGTTTTGGGGTGGAGCCTGGGAAGCATGAGGTTTGGGGGAGGGACCTCAGCAACTTATCATGCCATAGTCAGGGGGCCAACATCTTTTGACTACCCCAGGCCTCAGGGACGTCAAATTCGCTGAGACTAGGGCCAGGGCCGTTTCGGTGGCAGCTCCTACCTGATGGGATGAGCTCCCGAAGGTGATCCAGGCCCTACAGGATCTTGTGCAGTTCCGCAGAGCCTGCAAGACGGAGCTCTTCTGCCAGGCTTTCAAGTATGACCCGCCGCCGCTACTGTTCCATCAATGCACCGTCGCCGAAAATTGGCATAGTTACCAAGCGGGCCCTGGGAAGAAGACTGGCTATCTGCCACTTTGGAACTTACGTCGTTGGTCCGGATCCACCCTACCGGAACCCATCTTGGAACTGGGAACATCAGAGCACCAGCACTTAGTTGTACTATTGTTATGTTTTTATCTTGTTTTAATTATGGCTTTTGCTCGAATTGTTAGCTGCCCTGAGCCTTAGGGGAGGGCAGGATATAAATCGAATTATAGAGTCCATCCTCCAAAGCAACCATTTCCACCACCACCCCCTTCTTCTGTCACTGTACTCTATTTTCTGAAGCATTTTTATCCCAGTAAGGCTCTGATAATGGATGTGAACTAGGCTGCGAGGGAAAAAATGCTGAGAAAAATGGACTGCCAGATAACAAAGGGCTGAAGGGGGTTAGACTCCCTTCATCCCTTTGCCTGTGGGAGGGGCTCAAATCTAGGGTCCCAGCCCATACATAGTCTTTACATAGGAATCAGTTGTCCACCTTTTCCCCCCTGCCATGCCGAATATAATATGAGTCGCATCACTGTTTTTAAGGAACATTATAATGTGCCAATGAATGTCAGAACATCTCCATCACTGATCTCTGACATCATCTTTTATTCTGCTTTAACCTTTGCATCTCTTGTGCTGATTGTACTGCATACGTGTTAAGCTGCAAGAAACTGCCCTGGATCTGAGGTGTTATGTGTGTGTGTCTTATATCACTGTATACCCTTGGTTGCTGGATTCCAATTGGTGTATTTTGTTTATTTCTTGAACAAATGCAGATCCCTACCAACTACATGTCCCTAACGTAAAATGTTTTGGGGGACAATTATGGATAAGCACAATTTATTTCTTTAGTTCAGTGGACATTTCTGTCTTCCAGCACACTGACCTCATATATCTATGGATATCCATGCAACGGTTTGTGACTCCATACAAACTGGATATTGGAAGATTTTTAATTTTTTTTTTAATAAAGGTACTGAATTGATGCACAAACACTTGTACATTTGTAAATACTTTCTTCCCTGTTTAAACTGGGGGAAATATTGCTTGCTCCAAGTAGCATTTCTCAAACTACGTAAATAGCCATTTAGATCTTCTAACCCACACAGTTACTCTAATTCATTTAAAATATTTACAGACTTGCTTTTCCCCAGAGAACTGGGACTCGCGGCAGGTAACAAACTAATTAGATCATCCATGGGTATAACAATAAAAACAAGAAGTTCTCAACAAAGCCACTACAACATTCTACACCAACAATGCTTTTGTACCTTTAAAAAATTCCACAGTTAATGACTTCCACAGCGTCTCCAGTATCGGGACTCCAAATTTCCTCTGAAACAGTTTGGGTCTTACGGTCCTCCTGGAATTGCAGCAGAACTGGACACAGGCATAACTTTCACTGGCAAACTATTCCAGAAGATCAGGATAGCCAGGGAGGCAGCCTGTGAATATGCAGCGTTAATTGAACCCTTGAGTGGGGTGGGGCTGTTGGTAGATGCTGCTGGGCTCATAATGGGAGAAGCAGTCC